AACCGCCAAGACTCTTCCTAGAGCTAGCCGCCCGGCCAAACTGAGCAGTCGGGGGAGAAGGGCCTTGGTCAGGGAGGTGACCAAGAACCTGATGGCCACTCTGACAGAGCTCTAGAGTTCCTCTGTGGAGATGGGAGAACCTTCCAGAAGGACAACCATCTCTGCAGCACTCCACCAATCAGGCCTTTAGGGTAGAGTGGCCAGATGGAAGCCACTTCTCAGTAAAAGGCACATGACAGCCAGCTTGGAATTTGTCAAAAGGCACCTAAAGACTCTCAGACCATGAGCAACAATATTCACTGGTTTGATGAAACCAAGATTCAACTCTTTGGCCTGAATGCCAAGCGTCAAGTCTGGAGGAAACCTGGCACCATCCCTACGGTGAAGCATGGTGGTGGCAGCATCATGCTTTGTGGGTGTTTTTCACCGGCAGGGACTGGGAGACTAGTCAGGATCGAGGCAAAGATTAACGGAGCAAAGTACATAGAGATCCTTGATGAAAACCTGCTCCAGAGTGCTCAGGACCTCAGACTGGGGCAAACGTTCACCTTCCAACAGGACAACGACCCTAAGCACACAGCCAAGACAACGCAGGAGTGGCTTCGGGACAAGTCTCTGAATGTCCTTGAGTGACCCAGCCAGAGCCCGGAGTTGAACCCAATCGAACATCTCTGGAGGGACCTGAAAATAGCTGTGCAGCAACGCTCCCCAACCAACCTGACAGAGCTTGAGAGGATCTGCAGAGAAGAACGGGAGAAACTCCACAAATACAGGTGTGCCAAGCTTGTAGCGTCATACCCAAAAGACTCGAGGCTGTAATTTTTGCCAAAGGTTCTTCAACAAACTGTAAAGGGTCAATGTGATTTTTCATTTTTGTATTTTTTATACATTTGCAAAAATATATACAAACCTCTTTTCCTTTTGTCATTATGGGGTATTGTGTGTCGAATGATTTAATCAATTTTAGAATAAGGCTGTAAGGTAACAAAATGTGGAAAAAGTCAAGTGGTCTGAATACTTTTCCGAATGCACTGTATGTCCAATATATCCATACAAAACATGAATATATTCAATATATTCAACATAAACAATGTATCTGGACACCTTATAAAACAACCTCTCAGTCAGGTACTCCAACAACAACAATAACTGCTGCACCACTGATCATGATATTAAAGGAGAACTCTACCAAAAAAATTATATTTTGGTATTTGTTTCATTGGTCCATTGTTGATATAGTCTGAAGATGTTTTGCTTGTCAGCAATCAAGTTTTCAAGATATATAACTTTCAAAATACAGAAATACATCCGGTATGTTGTATTTCTGTATTTGGAAAGTTATATACTTTATCTTGAAAATGTATTCTCTCACTCTTCTTCCTCTCTCTCCGTCCCACACTTTTCTCTCTCTCCGTCCCTCTCTTTTCTCTCTCTCTCCTGTCACCTCCTGATAGTAAGGCATTAGTTAAAGCCTTGAGTAGATTGTGTGATTATACCATCCCACATGGGTTAAATACTTGGGAAGCTCCTGCGTCACATCTCCTGAACGCAACAACAAAGACTCAGATCAGGGGTGCGTTACCTTGAGCCGGAGTGTGCAACTCTACAGCATCACACTGTGTGTGTTCGAGGGGTGACAGAAGCCTTAATGGTTATTTATGTCACCCCTCGAACCTCCTTTAACCTGCGGTAGAAAAGCAGACACTTAAACAGGTTTGGTAGCAAACATTATAGGGCAGTTGTGCATCACACAACCATAGCATACACCCACACCATACACCCATACCATACCATACCATACACCCATACCATACCATACCATACCATACCATACCATACACCCACACCATACACCCATACCATAGCATACACCCACACCATACACCCAGTCCATACCATACCATACACCCACACCATACACCCATACCATACCATACACCCATGCCATTCACCCATAGCATACACCCATACCATACACCCATATCATACACCCATACCATACACCCATACCATACACTTTAGCATGTACAGTTGAAGTCAGAAGTTTATATACACTTAAGTTGAAGTCATTAAAACTTGTTTTTCAACATCTCCACACATTTCTTGTTAACAAACTATAGTTTTGGCAAGTCGGTTAGGACATCTACTTTGTGCATGACACAAGTAGTTTTTCCAACAATTGTTTATTTCACTTATAATTCACTGTATCACAATTCCAGTGGGTCAGAAGTTTACATACACTAAGTTGACTGTGCCTTTAAACAGCTTGGAAAATTCCAGAAAATGATGTCATGGCTTTAGAAGCTTCTGATAGGCTAATTGACATCATTTGAGTCAATTGAAGGTGTACCTGTGGATGTATTTCAAGGCCTACCTTCAAACTCAGTGCCTCTGCTTGAAATAATGGGAAAATCAAAAGACATCAGCCAAGACCTCTGAAAAAAAATTGTAGACCTCCACAAGCCTGGTTCATCCTTGGGAGCCTGAAGGTACCACATTCATCTGTACAAACAATAGTACGCAAGTATAAACACCATGGGACCACGCAGCCGTCATACCGCTCAGGAAGGAGACACGATCTGTCTCTTAGAGATTAACGTACTTTGGTGCAAAAATTGCAAATCAATCCCAGAACAACAGCAAAGGACCTTGTGAAGATGCTGGAGGAAACAGGTACAAAAGTATCGATATCCACAGTAAAACGAGTCCTATATCGACATAACCTGAAAGGCCGCTCAGCAAGGAAGAAGCCACTGCTCCAAAACCGCCATTAAAAAGCCAGACTACGGTTTGCATCTGCACATGGGGACAAACATTGTACTTTTTGGAGAAATGTCCTCTGGTCTGATGAAACAAAGAACTGTTTGGCCATAATGACCATTGTTATGTTTGGAGGAAAAGGGGGTGGCTTGCAAGCCAAAGAATACCATCCCAACCGTGAAGCATGGGGGTGGCAGCATCATGCTGTGGGAGTGCTTTGCTGCAGGAGGGACTGGTGCACTTCACAAAATAGATGGCATCATTAGGAAGGAAAATTATGTGGATATATTGAAGCAACATCTTAGACATCAGTCAGGAAGTTAAAGCTTGGTCGCAAATAGGTCTTCCAAATTGACAATGACCCCAAGCATGCTTCTAGAGTTGTGGCAAAATTGCTTAAGGACAACAAAGTCAAGGTATTGGAGTGGCCATCACAAAGCCCTGACCTCAATCCTATAGAACATTTGTGGGAAGAACTGAAAAAGCGTGTGCGAGCAAGGAGGCCTAGAAACATGACTCAGTTACACCAGCTCTGTCAGGAGGAATGGCCCAAAATTCACCGAACTTAATGTGGGAAGCTTGTGGAAGGCTACCTGAAACGTTTGACCCAAGTTAAACAATTTAAAGGCAATGCTACCAAATACTAATTGAGTGTATGTAAACTTCTGACCCACTGGGAATGTGATGAAATAAATAAAAGCTGAAATGAATCATTCTCTCTACTATTATTCTGACATTTCACATTCTTAAAATAAAGTGGTGATCCTAACTGACCTAAAACAGGGAATTTTTACCAGGATTAAATGTCAGGAATTGTGAAAAACTGAGTTTAAATGTATTTGGCTAAGGTGTATGTAAACTTCCGACTTCAACTGTATATTAAACAGCCATACCTAGCATAATACATCATACAACCCTCCTTCCCTGAGATTCCAACAACAGTCCTTAAACACTTCAGAGCTTGTCACTACAATAATCGCATAAAGTATAAATATGTGGTTTGTTGGTTACTTTGAATACATTCCTCCAATACCTATTGTCACAGGGAGGTATATGTTTATAGCTAAGTGATAGAAGCCACCCTGTATGTGATGTCAGTACCCTGTGCTCTCAGCATTGTGTACATATATTCAGGTTATCCTTAGAGTAGTGCTTCCCAAACTATACCATATTTCAGGCTGGGACGCAAGAGGAATTGGTCTCCGCTTGAGCCCTGTTTGGGGAGCACTACTCTAGAGTGACATTCTGTTTAACAACACACCTATTCAGAAGCAGAAATACTCATAGCATACAGTACAGAATATACACCCCTCCATACAGTACAGAATATACACCCCTCCATACAGTACATAATATACACCCCTCCATACAGTACAGAATATACACCACTCCATGAAAATATAATCATACATAAATACAATTGTTTCTGGAAATATACAAATATAATTTTCACATGATATCTTATAGTTTTTATAATATTATGATTGTTTCAAGTTTCAGTTAAACCCTTTGATTAAATTAACCAGTATATGCTACTCGGACCTGGCAGAATCCACGTTCACCTGTGCAATACATCCAGTATAGATATTCCTAACCCATAGAGGGGATTATAAAGTGCTTTATGTGACTCAGTCTGTTCTGTGAGGGTTACAGATCTACTGTAGGATGTCCAGTTCTATGTCCTGTGAGGGTTACAGATCTAGGACGTCCAGTTCTATGTCCTGTGAGGGTTACAGATCTAGGACGTCCAGTTCTATGTCCTGTGAGGGTTACAGATCTAGGATGTCCAGTTCTATGTCCTGTGAGGATTACAGATCTAGGACGTCCAGTTCTATGTCCTGTGAGGGTTACAGATCTAGGACGTCCAGTTCTATGTCCTGTGAGGGTTACAGATCTAGGATGTCCAGTTCTATGTCCTGTGAGGATTACAGATCTAGGACGTCCAGTTCTATGTCCTGTGAGGGTTACAGATCTAGGACGTCCAGTTCTATGTCCTGTGAGGGTTACAGATCTAGGACGTCCAGTTCTATGTCCTGTGAGGGTTACAGATCTAGGATGTCCAGTTCTATGTCCTGTGAGGATTACAGATCTAGGACGTCCAGTTCTATGTCCTTTGAGGGTTACAGATCTAGGACGTCCAGTTCTATGTCCTTTGAGGGTTACAGATCTAGGACGTCCAGTTCTATGTCCTGTGAGGATTACAGATCTTGGACGTCCAGTTCTATGTCCTGTGAGGATTACAGATCTTGGACGTCCAGTTCTATGTCACTCTCTTTTGGTTTCCTGCGTTTGGCTCTGGCTGGAGATCGGCTCCTCCTCTGGCCTTTCCCCCCTGACCCCTCCCCCGCAGACGCCATCTTGTGTCCATCAGAGACAGTTTCATTGGGCTCTATCAGGGTTAAGGAGCGTATTTGTGAATCTGGGTCTGTGTTCTCCATTGATCCTGGCTGGGACTCCACAGAGGTTCTGGTCATCTGGTGGATCAGAGGGATTTCTCTCTTTCCCCCTGTCTCCTCACCGCCCTCTTCTTCAGGATTAAACTCCTCCACAGCATTCTCCGGCACCTCCTCCTCTCCTCCCTCTTCCTCATCCTCAGCCTCTGCTGACACCCCCACATTATCCTCTGTGTCTTCCTCAGGAGTCTCCTCCTCTCCTCCCTCTGTCTCTCCATCTCCTCCTGTCTCTCCCTCTCCTCCTATCTCTCCCTCCTCCTTTTCACTCTCTTTCTCTGTTGTTTTTCCTGCTGTGTTTTCATTCTCCAACTCTCCCTTCTCTTCTTCCACCTTAAATTCAGACACCACATTGCTTTCCTCCTCTTCCTCCTCCTCCTCCCCCTCCTCCTCCTCCTCCTCCTCCTCCTCCTCCTCCTCTTCTCCTGTTCCACCCTCCTCTGTCTCCTCTTCAGCTTTGTCTGTCTCCTCCTCCACTGCTCCCTCTCCTTCAGTCATTTCTCCACCCCCCTTCTCAGCTGCTCCCTCTCCAGTCTCTACTTCCTTATCCTCTCCCTCCTCCTCACCCTCACCCGTCTCCTCCCCCTCTCCCGTCTCTCCTTCTTCTTCTTCCTCCTCCTCCTCCTCCTCCTCCTCCTCCTCATCCTCAGTTCCCTCTACCACTCCGTCCTCCTCCTGTTCTTCAGCTTCTATATCCTCAGCTATCTCCTGCTCTACTTCCCCAATCAGAGACTCAGCTCCATCACTCTCCTGTCCCTCCTCCTCTCCCCCAGTCACTATTTCTTCTTCCTCTTCCTCCTCAGGGATAGCTTCCTGTATGACAACAGTTGGTATAATATCCTCCTCTTCCTTGTCTTCCTCGTCTTCGTGTACCACCTCTAGATCCCCAACCTGCTCCTCCTCCTCCTCCTCCTTCTTCTCCTCCTCTTCCAGGTTGTCATTGTTCTTCCCCTCGATGGGGGTAGGGGGCGCCGGAGGCTCTGGGTCTTTCTTCATCCGCAGGATCTTACACAGATCAAACGCCATCATCACCGGCGCCTTGGCAACCACAGCCTCCATTTTGATTGCCTGGGCCTCCGCCTTTTTCCGTATGCAGGCGTCGCAGGGACAGTACTCGTCCTCGCTGCGCTGGTCACTAACATCGCCTGAACCCTGCTCTCCATCACTCTCATTCACCGACTGGACCTTCATGACCTTCAAAGCAAAGTCTAACTTTATTTGGAGTGCATTTATAATATGGCAATAGGGCCTACAGTTGACAATAAAGTAGGAATTAAAACACTATGTGTTAAAGGGATAGTGCAAGATTTTTCTACTTACCCAGAATCAGATGAACTCATGGATGAAATGTGTATGCGTTCAGTTTGAAGGAAGTTGCTAACTAGCATTAGCACAATGAATGGAAGTCTTGGGGATCAGCATGCTAGCATTCATCGTGCTAACGCTAAAACTACCTTCAACTTCCTTCAAACTGCACGCAAAGACATAAAAATCGAATCCATGATTTCCTCTGACTCTGGGTAAGTAGAAAAAACTGCTAAAATCTCTTTCAAATCTTACTAAAAGTTTGTTTTAAAGCTGTTAAACTAAAAGAGCAATAGAATCACTAACTGATTTAGAAACCTCAGGGGTTTGCCCCACTCACCTTTAATCTCCGCCTCCTCTGGTCTGTTTCAGCTGACTCCCGGGACAGGTTAGGTGGGCGTGGCCCCCGGCTTGCCCGCCCCCGGATCTTCCTCAGTTCATGATCAATGCTCGTCTGGATCCTCTTCTTCACCTCGTCTCTCAGCTCAGTGATCATAGCGTCCAACATCGCATTGTCGTCCAGGTCCCACCTCACCTTCACAAACACAACAGTATTATCAAAGATTATCCATAAAAAAACGTATTTATGATTTTCATGATGATGATTATTATTAATGCTGTTGTGTTTGTTGTTGTGGTTTTTATTACTGTTGCATCAGTACCTTGAACTCAGCCATGGCTTCTACGTAGTGGGTCATGAACTGTTTCTCCAGCTTCTTCAGCAGGTTGAGAACCCAGACCGGGTCAGGGTCCTGTGAGACACGCTTGGTGAGCAGCGCTCTCTGGACTGATGGGGGTGTCCCTGAGCTGGGGGTGTCCTCTGGGGTGTCTCTCTCTGTGTCAGTGGGGGACTTGTAGGCTGTGCTGTCTGAAGAGGACGGGCTCCCTGGGATTTGTAGGCTCTCAGGGGTCTGCAGCAATTCACCTCTCCCTTCATCATCCCCTGGGCTGCCCCGCACTCGGCTGGTGATGTCTGGGGTCGCCGCTGCTGATGCTGCTTCCTCTCCTCCTCCAGCTGCCTCCCCCTCTCCTGCCTCCCCCTCTCCTGCCTCCCCCTCTCCTTCTCCTTCCCCTCTCTCTCCCTCCGCTATGAGAGTGATGTCACCAGCTGTTTCATCTGGTCTGGTCTTCCCAGAACCCCCAGACCCTGCTGAGACGCTGGTCAGGTCCACACCAGAGTCTTTCAGCCTCTCCTTCTCCTCTCCCTCGTCCTCCTTCCCCTTCTCAGGGTCAGACAGCCACAGTGACTGTAGTATATCCATGACCTCTTGGTAACTCTGGCCCCTGTCAGGGCTCGGGTCTGCAGCTGAAGAAGTGGGCGGGTCGATGAGCTGCAGCTGGGCCAGACAGTCCAGCAGACCTTTAGCAGAGGAGCTCAGTCTGCGTCCGTACACAGAACCTATCTGGAGTAAAGAGACAGGTGGGAGAATTAAGGATTAGGAATAAATCATATCAAAAAGTTGTTTTTTCTCCCCCTGAAAGTCATACAAACCATGTGAATATGACAATAAAAGTATTAAAATAATAACAGTTATTAGTATGCAATATATAAGTAAAACTATACTGTAAAGTATATAACCCTATGAGTACAAGACATGTAAGTTGAAAATACATTGAAAATATGTATTTTGAACGTCTTGTGCTCACTGGGAAGTAAAAGTATGTGAGTAAAAGTCTAGAAACAGGAAATACCTCGGGTAGGGAGCTGCATCGGCCCAGTGAAGGGCTCAGTAGAACCTTCATCACCGCCACAGATGAGTGGCAGCTCCGGGGCAGCTCGGACTCGCTGCTGAGGAACAGGTGGGGATGACAAGGAGAAGTGATGTCATTGGTGGGCGGGGCTGGGTCAGGGCAGCAGTCAGCACACTCAGAGCACTCTCCCTCCTCCCTTTCCTCTTCTTCTTTCACCTCCTTCTCCTCCTCCTCTTCCCTTTCTTCCTCCTCCTCTTTCACCTCTCCCTCTTCCTCTGGTTGCTGGGCAGCCTTCTTTACTTCCTGTTCCTGTTGTCCTGTTTCAGCCGTGTTCTCCTGCTCCATCTCTGTGGTTTCAACCGGTTCTTGTTTCTCCTCAGTCTCCTCTCCTCCCTGTCCCTCTGTTTCCCCTCCTTTCTCCTCTCCTTCCTCTCCTTTTTCTTCTGTCTCCTCAATTCCCTCGTTCATCTCGTCTTCAGGGTTATCCATGCCGCTGTCAGCAGGGATGCCTCTCAGCCAATCACTGACGACGTCATTGGGCGAGGTGTTGGGTAGACAGAGGGGATCCAGCTCCTCTATCTCCTCCTCTTCCTGTTTGGGCTTCTTGCTCCTCTGGCTACTCCCACTCTTCCCACTATCAGTGATGCTAACCTTTGACCCTGCAGGGCTGGAGGGGCGCGAGGCAGCCATGTTCCCCCTGAGCAGGTCAGTTGCTGACAGGGACTGGGAGAGGAGGCTATCACTGACGCTGGCTGTCCCCAGCTGGATGGTGGGTCTGGAGCCCTCGGGGGGATTGAGGGACTGGGAGAGAGGGTCTCCCGCTTTGGCTGACTTTGGTCTGGAGTTCCCTTTGATTACAATCTTCTCGGTTTTGGAGGTTTTCACAGAGCGAACGCTGCCCGCGTTACTCTGAGCTCTGACCCTGTGACCTTTCACTTGTAGGAAGGATGCCCTTGTCTCTGGCCTCTCCTCGTCCTGGGCCTCGCTGGCCTTCTGAACTTTCACCTTTGACCTGGTGGAGCAGGCGGAGGAAGCAGCTCTGGAGTCTCTAGTGTGCACGCTGGGAGCTTTCTTCTCTGTGACATCATCTCTGACATCATCATCTCTGTGTGCAGCCTTGCTGGCAGTTCGGCTGGCGGCTTTACTTTGAGACTCCTCTTTGGTCTTGGTGGTTTCGGTGGTGGCAGGCGGTGTCTGATTGGTGGATTTAGCACTGGCCTGTGGTGCTCTGGAGAGGGGTCTGGTGGTTGAGGAATCTGCTATACTTTTGGGTTTTGTGCTCACGGCAGATTTCACACTGCCTGTCTCAAGGTCATGTCCTGTAGTGCTGGGGGCAGGTCTATAACCCTTCTCACCTCTCTCTTTTTTCAGGTGCAGAAACATACTTCTATTAGTGCCATTAGACTTATGAGATGTACTGGATTTAGCTGAGACGTGAGATTTAGCCGACATGGCGCTAGCTGGTCTCTCCTCTGTTTTCTCTCCCTCCCCGTCAACCCCTGTTGTTTCAATGGCGGGGACTTCTGCTGTTATGGGTGCTGGAGAGACCGCTCCAGTACTTCCATTACAGGTGGACTTGTGAGAGCTGCTGGACTTTGCTGAACCATTAGATTTAGTCGACATGGCACTCGCTGGTCTCTCTGTCCCCTCTCCTCCGGTGGTCTCAACAACATCAGCTTGTTCTGAAGCTGGAGTTCCAGCCCTCCTACTACTAGTAGACTTATGAGATCTGGTGGACATGACAGAGGCGGTGGATTTAGCTGACATGGCGCTCGCTGGTCTCTCAGTTTCCTCTTGCTCTTTGTCTCCCTCTTCTTCCTCACCTGTCGTCTCGATAGCAGGAACATCTTGAGCTCTACTACTTCCAGGCCTGTTAGACCTGCGGGACTTTGCTGAAGCGTTAGATTTAGCTGACATGAGACTGGCTGCTCTCTCCTTCTCCTCTCCGACCTCGTCCCCTCCTGTTGTTTCGATAACAGGGACATCGGCTGGTCGGGAGCTTGGAGTCTCAGCCCTCCTGCTGCAGGTAGATTTATGAGACCTCCTGGACTTGAGTGAAGCAATGGTTTTAGCTGAGATGGCGCTCGCTGGTCTCTCCTCTGTGTCTCCAGCAGCAGCTGTATCGTCAACCGTCTCATCTCCCCCTGTCGTCGTAATAGCAGGGATGTCTTTAGTCCCTGGAGTCTCAGCCCTAACACTCCTACTGCAGGTGGACTTGTGGGACCTGCTGGACTTTGCTGAAGCCGTAGTTTTAGCTGACATGACGCTTGCTGCTCTCTCCTCTCCCTCAGCATCTACAGGAGGCTCAGAAGCTGGTACCACTGGTGAATTGGAGGAAGGGGCCCATTCTGCCTTGCTGTAGGTAGACTTATGAGATCTGCTAGATTTCACTGAGGCGTCATTGTTATCCAACATGGCACTCGCTGGTCTCTCCTCTGTGTCTCCGGCAGCAGCAGCCGATCCATTTTCATCTCCCCCTGTCGTCGTAGTAGCAGGGAACTCTTTAGCAACAGGCCTCTCAGCCCTAACACTCCTACTGCAGGTGGACTTGTGGGACCTGCTGGACCTGACAGAAGCTGACACAGTCTTCTCTTCCTCTGTTTTCTCTGCTTGATCGTTGACTGGAGTTTCACAAGCGGCTGGCTTTGGAGAGGTAGCCTTACAGGCAGACTTATGCGTCCTGCTGGACTTGATAGAAGCCCTAGTTTTAGCTGACATGGCGCTTGCTTCTCTCTCATCATCTTCAGCAGGTTCAGGTTCAGTAGCTGGTACCTCTGGTGAGTTGGGGGAAGGGGCCTGTTCTGCTTTGCTGCAGGTAGACTGACAGGACCTACGGGACTTGGCTGAGTGGCTTGATTTAGCTGACATGGAGCTCTCTGCCCTCTCGTCTGTTTCCTCTCCCTCTTCTGCCTCTTCACCTTCACCTGTTGTCTCAATAATAGGGACTTCAGGTGTTTCAGAGTTCGCAGATGCAGCCCTAACATTATGACTGCCGGTAGACTTATGGGATCTGCTGGACTTTACTGAAGCGTTAGTTTTAGCTGACATGGCACTGGCTCCTCTCTCCTCTGTCTCTGCTGCTCCTGTATCCTCAGCAACTTCTGGTTCTGATCTGGGAGATGATGCCCTCTCTGAAGCTTTGGTGGACCCATCTGCTTTGCCACAGGTAGACTTATGAGACCTGCTGGACTTGGCTGAGAGACTAGATTTAGCTGACATAATGCTTGCTGCTCTCTGCTCTCCTCCCTCTTCCACCGCTCCCTCTTTCACTTCTCCCTCTTCCTCCATCTCTCCCTCCATCTCTCCCTCCATCTCTTCCTCCATCTCTCCCTCCATCTCTTCCTCCATCTCTCCCTCCATCTCTCCCTCCATCTCTCCCTCCATCTCTTCCTCCATATCTGCAAGGGATTCTGAGGCCTTAGACTTATGGGAGGTTCTGGAGTTCCTGCCCTTGACTGAAGAGAAGGATTTGGCTGAGAGGGCGCTGGCTGCTCTCTCCTCTTTCTCTCCCCCCTCCACATCTCCCTCCTTCCCTGTTTCCTCCCCCTCCTCGAGCAGAGACAGGTGTGACATCTTGCTGGCTGCTCTGCCCTCTTGGTAGTAGTGGGTACAGTTGGACCTGATGGTCCTCTGAGAAAAACCACACTCATCTGAGCCACCTAAGAGTCCGCTCCCTGACCTCTCCTTCTCCTCTTCCTCCTCCTCCTCTTCCTCCACCTCCTCCTCACATTTAGATTGCTTTGACCTATGTGACTTCTGTGAGGGGCAGGATGCAGGGCTGTACCCTTGGTCACACCCCCGACAGTGAGGACATACACAGGACCCCATAGACCCCAAAGACCCAATGGACCCCCCCGAGCCACCGGAGAGGCCGGTGAGAGTGGACATAACGCTGACTGCCCTCTCCTCCCCCTCCTCAGCTTCATCATCTCCCTCCTCTGGAGCCACAGGGGTCCTGATTCTGTTGGAGGGAGATCTGGATCTATGGGAGGATCTGTGGGAGGATCTGGATCCATGGGAGGCTTGGCTGGCCTTCGACCACGAGCTGTCCACTCTCTCCTTGTCGGCCTTAGGGATGACTTCTCCACCGCGGCAGGAGCATGAGTTACTAGAAGGCCGGGAGGAGGCTCTGCTCCGCCTCTCCTCACCCATGTCACGCCTTTCCTCTTCCCTCTCTCCCACCTCCTTTCCCTGTGGGGTGTGTTTCCTGCTCCTGGAGGAAGTAGACACACGGCTGGGAGGTTGTGGGGTCAAGGGGAGGGCTTGTGGGGGGTCGTTGCTATGGCAACAGCGTGAGACACTGGGAGGGTGGTCAACCACATCTTCCTGAAGTGCCTGGAGGACATGGGAGGAGCTAGACAGAGGACGCTCCTCCCCCTGGTTGTCCGTGGCACTCAGGTTAAGCTCGCTGCGGCTGCAGCTGCGGCTGACTGTACACACCTCCACCATCCCTCCATCCCTCTCCACCTCCACCCGTTGCTGTACCTCCTCCCTGACGCAGCACTCCTGGACAACCCTTCCGGGCTCTGAGCACTGCCTGTGGGTCGCCCGCCTCCTCACCAACTTGCTGGAGCGGCAGGAGGAGGAGGAGCTAGAGGAGTGGGTGTGTCTAACCCTGGAGTGGGAGTGCTTAGAGGTCTGGATGTGGGCGGGGTTCTCCCAGAGGTCATACTCCGGGTCCTGTCTCTGGAAGCAGCAGGCACAGCGTGGCTGTGGCTCCTCCAGGGAGGGCTGTGGAGGCTTGGGGGCGTAGTCGGCAGCTTCAGCAACACAGGAGGCGGAGTCAGGGTCTGAGCAGCTTTCTGATTGGCCTTGCTGCAGGAAACAACGATAACAATACATCTTATTTGTAAAGCACATTTCATACACACAGCAGCTTACTGAACAAAAATATATATATATCACAAAACTAGAGTAATATAAAACAACAAAACACAAAAAGGCATATCAAAGTGTACTTGTAGGTAGCGGGGCTGGGCTTCCCTCTCATTGGTCAGAGAGTCAGAGGGAGACTTCTTAATCTCCGTGGACCACTGGAGCGTCTCATCGTTGTGGAGACGAAAGCGCACCCTCATCTCCACAGACAGGCTGCCATCTTTGTTCACCAGCACCCGCTTCTCTATGTCATCATTAAGCACCGCCTCCTTGCCGCCGTGGGAGTGGGGACAGGTGCTGAGGCCATTAGGGTAGGACTTGTCAGAGGAGAGAGAGAAACGGGTGGAGCGGTTGGAAGAGTCTGAGCGAGGATGGATGATGCTCTTCTTAGTCTCCAGACCAAAGTTCACTACCAGGAGAGAGAGAGAGAGAGAGAGAGAGAGAGAGAGAGAGAGAACAAAACAGATTGGAAAGATTAGTCACAATGTTCACTGGAAATTCAATAGTAACACACACTACCGCTCACAGACACACACTACCGCTCACAGACACACAAGACACACACTACCGCTCATAGACACACAAGACACACACTACCGCTCACAGACACACACTACCGCTCACAGACACACACTACCGCTCACAGACACACACTACTGCTCACAGACACACAAGACACACACTACCGCTCACAGATACACACTACTGCTCACAGACACACACATCATCATGACCTACCGTTCTTCTTGCTGTCGTGTCCCTCGCTAAAGACACTAGACCGTGAACGAGCTCCCTGACCGTTACCAGGTGACCGGGCTCCGGTACCGGGAGACTGGACCCCATTGCCAGGTGA